GATCCAGTGCCGCCTCATTAATGTGGGCTTAGTTTGGGGCGGGGGCTGCGGTGCTGCTGCAGAAAACGTGTGAAAGCCAAGGCGGGGATTAGCGCTGCACAATGCCGGGGGCAGGGGGTGGCTCTGCCTGCCTTGGCACGGAGGCCTGGGGCACCAGGGTCCTGCTGCACCCCGGCGCTGGCAGGGGAAGGGGGGTGCAGGGGTGCAGCCCTGCCTGGCTCTCAGCTCAGTGTCCCCCCGGGTTTTAGCAGGGTGTTGGTGGTTTAGGAGCCAGCTGGGTGCTGTGGAGGGCCACATCACAAAGGGCTCCCATAAATCTGTCCTGAGGAAGGGCACCCGGCTCTGGTGGGAGAGCAGTGGGTGCCCCGAGGCAGCAGCTGCATCCTTTACAGTGGGTGGATCCCGAGTGTTCAGGGTGCTGCAGGGCTCCCAGTAAAGCAGGAGATCACCTGGGCAGGGATTGGGATCATTCCGTGGCTCTCCCGGTTCCTCTGCACTTGCCCTCAGAGCCAGGAGGGGAATTTCCTGTTGCAGAGAGGTTGGTGCTGCACAGGTTCCCAAGCAGGGCTTACTTGTGCTCGCCTCCCTGATTGCTTTTGCTTTTGAAAAGGGCTTAAACCCAGCCATTTTAATACTCGGTAGAACAAGAATTAAAGGAGATCCTCAGGTGCTTATTTGTTTCCATGAAAAAGGATTTGCTGGGAGCAATTTTCCCAGGCTGTGGGCCCAGGAGGGGTGCACAGCATCCCCTGAGGCAGAGAGGAAGGTGACAAGGGGATTTAGGAGACACTGGTAGGGGCCCAACCTGCACATCCTTGGCATGTTTGGTGATAGAGAATAGCATAATTTCTGTTCCTGATCATACACTTTTCATCCCAATTTCAGTCCTATTACAGTCACACCTGCAGCTGCTGAGCAGTCACATTCCCAGACTTCTCGTTCCCACACTGAGCAGTCCCCTTGCAGGGGCCTGGCTGCAGCAGAACTCAGCACATCTGCTCTGGACAGAGCCACTACTTCTGCTTTAACATCCTTGAGTTTTGAGACTTCTTCCAAGAGTCTTCCCTCCAGGAACCGGGGGAGCTGTCAGCCCTTTTCTCCAAATAATCCTGTGCATGGAAATGCTTCTGCACGTCTGTTGTGCATCCCCAGCTGAGGCACCACAGGCCTGGGCTTGCAGCCACCACGGGATGAGTGCCCTGAGGGCTGGGGAGTGTGGGGCTGGGGCCCCTGCCCTCGGTGGTGTCACCCCATCCTGGCTGCACAGGGGGTCCCAGCTCCAGTGTGTTTTCAGGGGGATCCATGAGCACAGTGTGGCAATAGCGGGGGAGAAGGGGCTGGGCAGTGTTTGAGCAATCCCATCTGCTGTCTGAGCCGCAGCAGACACTGGGGAAGGGAATATTCTGGTCTGCACTCGGTGCCAAGGCTGTTCCCTGAGCAGGGAGGGCTGTGAGCCATCAGCCCCGGTGCTTTTCCAGCTGCTGGCTCTCCGGTGGGGCCGTGCTCTGTGCCGAGCAACTGCTGCTCCCAGCGCCACATTCCCGGTCTGACCCACCCCCGGGATTATCCAGCTGCTCTTCCCGGGCAGCTGGGGCCAGCAGCCTCTCCAGAGCTTCCCCTGGGGCCGTCCCTCCGTGGAAAAGCCCATTTTTGGGAGGTACAGAGTGCCGTGCCCAGGCAGGATGCCGGGGGCACAGGAGGATGTTCCTGCCAGGCTGTGAGCATTATCCCTCCCCAGGAGCCTGACTGAGGCCTTCTCCTGGCTCTGCTCTCGTGCTTGGCTCTGGCAAGGCTGGCTCTGAATTGTGCAAGTCACTGGCAGCCTGGGTGGCAGAGGGTGATGCCCTGGGCTGGCAGGGGGGAGCTGCCCCCCAAGGCCAGCTTGTGTTTGGTTGTATTTTATGGGTTGGAGTGGTGAGCCAAGGGCAGGGGCTGCAGCCAAAGGTGTGCCAGTGCCTGAGCACAGCGTGCACTGAGACAGCAGTCGTGTGGGAAAGTGTCCTGTGCTCTCCTGGCTGCGCAGTGACACAAAACAGCATTTCCAGTGCCAGCCCTGTCCCAGCATGTGGAGGCACTTGGATAAACCTGGTGTGGATGTGGCATTGTGGCAGCCCTTCCTACCCCAGTGCTGGCTCTGTGACCTGTGGGACGGGGACACGCAGACCAGGAGCTTGCAAAGCCTTTAAGCTCCTCCTGTGATGGGTGCAGCAGAAGGGCGAAGGATTATGCCTGTGCCTGGGTTTGGAGGATGAATAACAGCATTCAGGGTCCTTCTGCAGAGAGCAGGGCAGGAGCTGTTGTCAGGCAGCAGAAAGGTTGGTCAGGCAGCAGCCAAGGAGTCATCCCAGGCTGGTTCTGCACGGGGGACGGGAGGGCAGAGGGGCCCAGCCTGTGCCCTGAGTGCCTGTGCCCTCGTGGGCTGCAGGAACAGCCAACTTCTGCTTTCCTTTTTGGGAAATCCAAAGGATTTTGCTTTTCCTGGCATCTCCCCAGCCCCTCACTGACATCACAGAAATAAGGGTGAGGAACATGCTGAACATGCTGAGCCCCTTCCCCGGCTGCACCCAGGTCCTGCTGCCCTCCCCGCTGCTCACCTGAGCGCTGCTGCAGCCCGCAGGAGCTGGGGAGGAGCTCAGGATCCAGGTACCTGTTGGTCCTTGAAATCAGCTCCTGCCAACAGCGCCACTCGCTTTTCCTTAGATTTTAACTCATGCTGATGGAGTGATTTGCATTTCTTTGGATTAGCAGCAGGACTTTGAAAAATGGGTTTAAAAGCCTTCAGGGCATGTGAACTGCCCTGGTCTGTGTGGCCCCTGCCAGCCCCGAATTCCTGGGGTGTATCTCAGGGCAGGGAAGGTCTTAACACATTCCCTCGGGACTCTTTGAAGCCAGATGTGCAGCGGAGCCTTTCTGGTGTAAAATATCTTGTCCCCATCCCTAATTTTTGTTCATTTTCTGACCAGATGATTTCCATGGCTCAGCACGTGTCTGTGCTCAGTGCCACTCTCCAGCACTTCCAGGGAGCTGTCCCAGACTCTCTGCAGTGTTGACTAACACCTCCCCTGAGTTGGTGTTGGCAACGGGGGGATTGCCAGTGCTTGGCACGGCCCTCTTGGTTACAGGCAAGCCTTTGAATACACACTCAAAGGTCAAATGCTGGGAGACAAAGATTCCCCAGCCCAGGTACTTGGGTTACTTTATGGAGATCTGGAGAATTCCAGCCTGACTTTGGGGGGGTTATTGTGCTGTTTCAGGTTTATGGGCTGGCACAGCATTGCTGAGCCAATGGTTCTGCACAGAAACTCTCATTTCCATCCGTGGATTGTGCCTGTGTGTGTGTATCCAGGATAAGCTGTGTTCCCGTGGGTGTCCAGGCTCTCAGAGTAGCCAAATCTTGTAAGGAGGTGTGTACCCTGTGAATGTGTTACAACTCAATTTAATACGTGACTAAACCAGCCATGCAATATTGCAATTAAAGTATAATTCCAGAGGTGTGAACAATGCTGGCTCTTGGCTGGAGTGAGTCAGGGGAGCGGAGGAGGAAGCGAGCAGCAGTGTTTTATTAATTGACTCCAGTGGATTTATTTGTCCTCAGTGAATAGAGCCGGGCAGAGCTGTCGGAATTGTTCCTGCTCTGCTCCACGCCTGGCTCCTGGCAGGCTGATCCTGGGGACTGACAGTTGCTGGGATGGAGGCAGTTCCTGGCTGAGTGACCAGTTAAATGGGCATTATTAGTGAGCAGGAGTGAGCTGGGGGCTCCTGGTGCTGTTTGGAAATGGCCCCTCGTGCCCGACAGTGACGCTGCTGCTGCTTTTCCCTGTGTCCTGTCCTGCCTGGGAGCAGATGCCATGGGAAGATGGCACTGGATGGCCCCTGGCACCTGCTCAGCCCAGGAACCAAGGTGCAGTGACTGGTGTATCCAAATGGAAATGCTTCCAGGATTACAGAAAAGCCAGGAAAGGAGAGCAGAGTGTGCCTGGAGCAGGAATCATCCCTGTGATTCCTCTGGTACCAGAGCAGCGCTGTCCCTGGGGATGAAGGTGGGGGTAAATTAAGTAGTGGGGCAAAAAGTGAATTTCTCCCTGAGCTCCCACTGAGTTCCCCATGTATTGCAAGTGTGTTTTGTTCTCAGCAGCCTCTGGAAGCCCCTTGGAGCAGCCCGGGGCTGTGGCTGTCATACATGGTCTTGCTGGGCAGGGGAGAGCCCAGGTGACCTTCAGAGGTGACTGCTCCTCTTAATGGCTTGGAATCTGATTATACCATTTCACTAAGAAATGTGCTTGGCACGTTCTTCTGCATTAAATACCATTTAGGGACAGTTATCCTGAACTCTCTGCCTGCCGCTTAGGAAAAAACCTTTGAAAATGATATTATGGATCAAAAGTGTTCCTGGGGTAATTCTGTTTCAAACAGTGGAGTTAATCCAGAACTGAATTTGGCCCTGCATTTTCAAACGAGAAGCAGTAGCTGTATAATCTGTTTATGGTTTTAAAGTGAATGTTAATCTTGGATTTGGTAGCTTTTCCAAAAGGTCGATTTGCCGTGCTGCAGAGCGTTTCAGCCCCCTGCCCTGACACTCTCTGAGCCGACTCCATGTTTTATTTTAAAGAGTGATTTTACTGTGTTTATAAATACATGTCAAACCTGGAAACGTTAAATCTGGGCAGTGGAAGTAATGCCATTTTTCTTGCCTTGCATTTTGTGGTACAGCTCCTGGCACAGCACGTCCAGGCTCCGACATACCGGGCCTGCTGCAGGGATGGCTCAGTCCCACGAGGATGCAGTGGGATGGGTGGAACTGAACAGAATGTGCCCTGCTGAGACCGGGGAGCCTCTGGGTGCTGTTCGCTGGTGTCTGTGTCCCCTGGTGTCTGTGTCCCTGGTGTCTGTGCCCCTGGTGTCTGTGTCCCCCAGTGTCTGTGTCCCCTGGTGACTGTGTCCGTGTCCCCTCCGCAGGTGGGAGGATGCAGCCGTGTGCCGGGGGCTGACGCGCGGAGCCGCCGGCCGCGGGGAGCGGGACCCCCGCCGCCCACCCATGGTCCCGGCTGGCAGCCGGGGCAGCCCCCGGTGAGGAGGGGCACGGGCACAGCCGGGAGCGCGGGCACGGAGCCCCATAGCCGCCCCGCCATGACGAGCCTCTTCCGCCGGAGCAGCAGCAACGGCGGCTCCCGCGGCGGCTCCTCCGCCCAGGAGCTCAACAACAGCCGCCCCGCCAGGCAGGTGCGGCGCCTGGAGTTCAACCAGGCCATGGAGGACTTCAAGACCATGTTCCCCAACATGGACTACGACATCATCGAGTGCGTCTTGAGGGCCAACAACGGCGCCGTGGACGCCACCATCGACCAGCTCCTGCAGATGAACCTGGACGGCAGCGGCTGCGACGACAGCTCGGACTCGGAGGACAGCATCCCCCCCGAGGTAACTGCCTGGGCTCCCCTCCGTGGGCTCTGCCTTCCACAGCTGGGTCACGTCAGTCTCATCCTGCCTCCTCCTGCCCGGGCACGGTGCTACTCAACTGCTGCAGGCAGAGGTTTGAGTGCCCAGATCAGCTGGGCTGCTGCACCAAGGGTTGGCTTGGGCAGTGCTTCAGGCTCAAGCTAAGTGTTCTACCCCCCCTCACTCACCCCAAAACCCAACAGAGACCCTTCTGCTGCTGTCAGAGAGACTCCCTGGGGCTGTGAGCACCAAGGGTAGGCTCAGCCACCCTCTTCCCTTGAAAGCAGTACGTCCAAACTCCACCAAACTCCAAACTCCACCAAAACCCCCCGGGTGCAGTGCCAGCAGGTTTCCCCATCCTCTGCAGCAGCATTCAGCCTGTGCCATCCCTGTTTTGCTGCTGCACATGGGGCTCTGGCCCACTGGGGAGCATTTCCCTGTCCTGCGCTCACCCCCTCCTCTCACCCTGCAGATCTTGGAGCGGACCCTGGAGCCAGACAGCTCAGACGAGGAGCCCCCTCCTGTGTACTCCCCTCCTGCCTACGAGAGCCAGGCCTTGGGCAGCCGCTACCCCCGCGCCCCACCCACGCCCCCGCCCAGGTGAGCCCCAGCCCTGCACAGCTCCTGCTCCTGGGGCACCCTGTGCCAGCACCTGGGGTCAGGCTGAGCTCCTGGGGCACCCTGTGCCAGCACACGGGGTCAGGCTGTGCTCCTTGGGGCACCCCGTGCCAGCACACAGGGTCGGGATGAGCTCCTTGGGCACTCTGTGTGGGTCAGGCTGTGCTCCTGGGGCACCCTGTGCCAGCACACGGGGTCAGGCTGGGCTCCTGGGGCACCCTGTGCCAGCACACGGGGTCAGGATGAGCTCCTTGGGCACTCTGTGTGGGTCAGGCTGTGCTCCTGGGGCACCCTGTGCCAGCACATGGGGTCAGGCTGTGGCAGCTGGCCTTGGCACGGCTGTCTGGCCCTGCTCCTTATAGGGTCCAGTGAGACAAAGCCAAGGGAGATGAATGAAGCTCACAGCTGGCTCAAAAATCCCTGTGAGGGTCTAAGCCACCAACAGCTGAGGGGCCGGAAAGCCGCCCCAGCAGCGTGTGGAATGGCAAAAATCAGCTCGGGGGCGGGGAGCACTCACTGCTGCTGCTGCTGCTGCTGGAAAACACCAGGTGCTGGGCCAGCCCCTCCCGGCTGCTCACCACACACCTCGGCTGGCTCACTTGGCCCCTGGCAGCTCCGCTCTGGCTGTAGCTGTGGGACAGCAAGGGTGAGCCCTGGGCACCTCTGTGCCAGCCCCTGCCCTCTGTGCAGGCTGGGTGTGACACTGGGAGAGGGATGTTTGTCAGCTTCATGGGCAAATCCCTGCGGTGCTGGGGCTCCACCAGGCTGGTTCTGGGAGTCTGAGGGAAACAGGGAGGAGAAGGAAAACCCAGCACGCAGAGTTGCAGGGCAGGGCTTGAAATACAGCTCCCAAATATTCCAAATGCTCTAGGAAGGCTTTCACTCTCCAGAGCTGATGGTAACGTTGGAGATTCGGGGATGTGCTGGGGTTTCGTGGTTTCCAGGACTGCTGGTGGAGCCAGGCAGGCCCTGCTGTGCCATGCCCTGCTGTGCCAGGCCCTGCTGTGCCAGGCCCTGTGCCACACTGCCATGGCAGGTGTTGGTGGTTTCTCCTCAGCAGAGGTGCTGCCTGTGCTTGCCCCACAGGACGGACGTGCCCAGCAGCGCCGTGCACTACAGGAACTGGAACCCGCCACTGCTGGGCAACCTCCCCGAGGACTTCCTGCGCATCCTGCCCCAGCAGACTGCCCCAGCTGGCACACAGGTGAGCTTGGCCACCCCTTCCAGCCTGTTCCATGGCGTGGCATGGATACCATCCCAGTGCTCAGCCTCCCTGAGCTTGCAGCATCAGCACACTGGGTACCAGGTGTGGACTAACCTGAAATTTTGGGAGCGTGTCCTGTTCAAGAGAATGAAGGGGGCAAGGTGTGAAAGAGCTCTCAGCAAAGCTTTGATATTTTTCCTGCTTTGTCCCAGTGATTAGTGCCAGAAATGCCACTTGCCATAAGCACCTAATGTTTGCAATTATTTGAAAATCTTGCCCGCTGCTCTGGTGAGGAGCAGCAGGACCAGTAATGCTCCTAAGGAGAGCAGCACTGCCAGGGCACTTGAGGGCTGCTGCAGTGGAATTTGGGTGGGAAACCTAGTGCAAGCCAGAGGATTTGCCCCTGGGAAATCAGAGTCCACATGTGCTCCGTGGCTGTTTTAAGCCACAAGGTTTGGGTGCCAGCTGCAGGGCGGGCAATGGGCAGCATCCCATGGGGAACAAGAGCCCCAACACATGCTGGGCATCCTGCTCAGCTCCAGGCACAATTTGGGGCATCCCTCAGCCCTTTGCTAACACAGGAACCCCTAAATGGATCCAGTACCCTCCTGGCATGGAGAGGGCTGGGGGGGGGCTGCAGGCACCCTGCTCCTCACTCTCATTTTGTCTCCAAAGGCAGCCTGCCACGTTTTCATGAATGATTGCCCTGCAAGTTGAGCTTCACGGGCTCTATTACCTTTCTGGGAATAGGAGCGTGCCAATTCATTTGGGCTCAGGGGGAGGAGAGGAGCAGCTGCCCTTTTCTTTCCCCAGTAATTGTGTGCTTTTGCTTTTTATGGCTCTCTGGGAGCAGCTACAAATCAGATAAATATTGTAGGCAGGGATGAGGCTGTGCTGCTCCCTAGGTGTGAGGCGTGACGTGCCTCGTGCAGGGATGTTTGTCAGCAGGACACTGCAGGCTCTGCTCTCTGGAGATGGGAGATAGAGCAGCGATGCTGCTGAGACCCTTCTCGTACCTCCACACAGGTTCTGCTATGGCACAACCCCATGGCTTAAAGTTAAAAATCCCTGCCAGCCTTTGCTCTGCTGAAGGAGCTCCAGAAGGCTCCCACATGGGATGTCTGTCCCCTCTGCCCTGTCCCCGTTCCCAAGGGGCAGAGGCAGCGCTGCCCTGTTTGTCCCTTTTGCCGCGGCTGTTGGGCAGAGGAGGGAGGGCCCCCTCTGGGCGCAGCAGTCGGGGCTGGGGCAGCTGCGGTGTCACACACAGAGGGGCACAAGGCTGAGCTCAGCCCCGGGTGCTGCTGCAGGGACCCCCGAGAGCAGCACCCAACGTTGCTGTTTGCCTCCCCAGGGCTCCCCCGGCTGCCGGCAGCCCCTGCCCCGGGGCCAGGGCTCCCTGGAGCAGGAGCGGCGCTGGAAGCAGTACCTGGAGGACGAGCGGATCGCGCTCTTCCTGCAGAACGAAGAGTTCATGAAGGAGCTCCAGAGGAACCGGGACTTCCTTCTCGCCCTGGAGAGAGGTGAAAGGCCCTTCAGAAACTTCTGCTTTTTGGGCGTGTGCCCGGCTGTGACTCTGGCTGCTGGCAGCAGTGCCCTGCCCGTGGGATCAGGGCTTGTGCTAAAGCAGAGCCAGTACAGGATGTGGCCAGGCTGGGGGCTGGTGGTCTGAGCTGCCCACACTGCTGGGCTGCTCCCTGGACTCCTGCTCTTCCCCCCACGTCCAGCCCTCTGCAGCATCTCTGGAAGAGCCCAGCAGAATCCATAGCAAGGAGCTTTGGAAATGGCCTCTGAGCCCTCCCCAGCCCTGTCAATGGTGCTTTGCAGGGTCCTGGCAGCACCGTCCCTGCAGGTGCCAGGAAAGCCACGGGTGTGCTCGTCATGTGCTCGTGCTGGGTGGGCAGCTCCTCTGCTGCTGCGGGCTCCCACCCAAGTGCTTGTGGTCGCTGTGCAGAAGCAAAGCCCCAGCTCCCTCCCTTGCCAGCAGCCACGGGGCTGTGAGGGGAGAGGGGAGCAGAGCCATGTGCTCTGCCTCCAGGGTCTGTCTGATCGAGCGGGCGCTGCGCTTTTTGTGTTTCAGATCGATTGAAATATGAGTCAAAAAAATCCAAGTCGACTGGTGTTGCTGTCAGCAACGACTTTGGTTTCTCCTCCGTATTATCAGGTAACTTCCAAGATGTATGTGAGCATTGTCTCTCCACAGCAGGATCCCCCACAGCCCTGCATTCCCATCCCTCTGGCTAGCTGCCTCCAGAGTGGCTCTGGAGGGAGGAAACTGGCTGATCCCTCCCTGCTGTCCTCCCAGCACTGAGAGGAGCTGGTGGGTCTTGGGGGTGGGTGCTCCTGCCCTCCCCATGTGGAGGTGCTCCTGCATCCTGCCTCCATCCATCTCTGCCCTCCCTGCCTGGGCTGGAGCAGAGGATTGTGCCTGGAGGCATAATGACTGTTCTGGGTAATCCTGATTAACCTCGGAGCACAGCAGCTGCCCAGAGTCAGAATTAGAGCTGGTGTGTGTCGATGGCCCCACGCGGGGCTGGGCGAGCCTGGGCAGCCTGGCAGAGCTCCCAGACCTGGGGAACAGGGACATGGCTCTGGGGTCTCTATTCCCTGACCCAGCTGGGCTTGCTCCTGATCCACTGCGTAGCATCATCCAATACCCAGAGCACAGTCAGAGCCCGGGGGAATTTGGAGCTGCTGACCCTGGAGGGAGGTGCTGGTGCTGGGACTGAGCCCCTGTAAGGGTGTGCTGCCAGCCCACAGCTCTGCACTGCCGGGGCTTGTGTCCCTAGAGGGTCTCCATCCACAGCCAGCCCCACCCTCATCCCACCTCCTCTCCCCACGCTGCCCTTCGCTGCTGCTGGAGCTGGAAGTGATTTGTGGCAGCCCCCTCTCCAGGCAGGCAGGCAGGGAGGCACTCCCGGTGAACCGTGTTTGCCTTGCAGGTGAGGGAGCTCCCTCTGGAGCCAGCGAGGCCGGCGGGGCCGTGTCCGACGATGCCTTATTCCGAGACAAGCTCAAGCACATGGGGAAATGTGAGTGTGTGCAGGGCCCGTGCTGGCAGCCGGGCAGGCTGGAGGGGAGCTGGGAGTGGCGTGGGCAGGGGGAATGGCAGCAGTACCTGGCACTCTCCCAAACTCAGTCACAGCCTGCTTTTCCCACCACAAACTACAGCAAGGTCCTTGGGTGGCCCCCAGCTGGGCTGCAGGCACTGGGGACACTGGGAGGGGTGGGTAAGGAAGGTCATGAAAATCCCAGAAAAAGGGGAAAACATGGAGCACCTCCCACCAGGGACCGAGGTGTCCCCGTCTCCCTCTCCGAGTCTGGGCATCACCACAGGGTGTTGGGTGTGGGTGGCTCTCACACGCCCAGCCCTGCCCCTCTCCTTTCCCCTGCCTGTGGCAGCTTTGGGAGGGGTTTTTGGTTTTGGGTGAGACCCTCAGGCAGCTGCTTCCTTCCAGCCACGCGCAAGAAGCTGTTTGAACTCGCCAGAGCCTTCTCCGAGAAGACAAAGATGAGGAAATCAAAAAGAAAACACTTGTTGAAGCACCAGGTGTATCCTGAAAGGGGCTGTGGGGCAGGGGGCCTCACTCAGGGGGCTCCCCAAGGGCTCCTGTGTGGCTGGAGCGTGGGCTGGGAAGGGTGGCTGTGGTCCCTGGCCACATCCTGGCCCCACAAGTGGTTTTCCTTAGCGGAGGGTGCAGGATGGGGACAGCAGCTTCCACAGCAAATCTTCTGGATGACGTGGAAGGACATGCATATGGTAAGGAGTGCTGTGCCAGGCTGTGCTGGGTGTGCTGGGCTTGGCAGGCTGGGGCCTGTGGTGCCACATCACCCCGGGGCTGGCTCAGGTGTGAACGGCTGGCAGAAATACCCCTGTGGGCCAAAAGCCTCCATCCATGTTCTGGGATAAACTCCCCTGTCCCCCTGGGAATTCTCACTCTGAGCAAGGAAAGCCTGCCTGGGGAAGCTGGGCTGCCTCCCCCGGGCTCCTCCCCGTGGTGCAGGGGTGCCCCGGTGTGGAGGTGGCTGCAGCCCCCGCCTGCCTCTGCCTTTCAGATGAAGATTTCCAGGCACGGCGGCAGCAGCTCCGGGAGGAGGAGGAGACGCTGAAGGAAGGGCAGTAAATGGTGAGAGGCACCTGGGGATGGGTGATCACTTGGGTGTGCATGGCCCAGCCCGGCTGGAGGAAGAGCCACATGCTTTAGGCTGGGCCCAGAGTGTGTCTGGGTGGGGACAAGCCCCATCAGTGGGTGCCAGGGCTGGGACAGCCCCGGCTGCTGTCACTGTGTGGCTGAGGCTGAGCACGGGCTGTTCTCTTCCCCTCCCTGCAGGTCCCAGCTCTGGGGTTTCTTGCTGGCACAGGACGTGCACAAGGCTTCATCAGGAGATGGCTGAAAAAGGAAAAACCCACCCAACAAACCACCCAGATTTTGGCTGTTCCCCCTCTGCTGCTGTACTCCTCTGAAGTACAAGTATCGAAGTGAGGCACAATGTTTTCTTACCGATGGTTTGAAAACAACTTTTCCTATCGAGCAAATCAGCCAAAAAGGAAAAAAAAAAAAAGGAAAAATAAAAGAGGGCAAAAGAAGAGAGGGCAGCTGCTGCGAGTGAGCGGCTGTGGAGGAGCCAGCGAGCTCGGGCTGGGGAGGGGCAGCCCCGCCTGCTCCCCGGCCGGGCGGCACGGGAGGGATGAAATGAAATCAGTCCTACTAACGAGGATCCAGTCCCACGTGGGGTCTGCCTGGCCGGAGCACTCCTGAACATATCTGTAGTGGTCTGATGTAACTTCACTCTGCGCACACCGGAACAAAAACCACGTGAGAAAGGGAAGCTAACAGCCGTTGTCTATTATTGCTAGGAGTAATGAGCAGAGATTCAGATCAGGTAATAGTCAAATAATATAAATTGTTTATAAAGGAAAGGCCTTCTTTTCCTAGGCGTTTCACTTTGAATTAAACCTTTGCCTTCGGCATTGCTACAACTGCCTTGAAGTTGGGGAGCTTTGTGGGGCAGCACCAAGGGCTGGATTTCACACCAGTTTAACCCTCACTGCTGGAGCAGGGGCAGCACCAAGGGCTGGATTTCACACCAGTTTAACCCTCACTGATGGAACAGGACACGTCCCACGGGGTGTGGGGTGCTGGCGGTGCCTGCTCACCTCTCACTGTAGGTGAGAGCCCAAGCCAGGGGCTGGCAGGGCTGGTGCAGGTGTTTCCAGCACAGAGTTTGTACCAGGGCCTGGGGGCACTGCTGGGTTTGGTGCGGGGCAGGAGCAGAAGCAGAGCCCCTTCCTCGTGCCCGCAGCGCCGGGATCCTGCAGCTCTCGGAGATGCTGTCAGGCTAAAAATAATTACATAAACAAATTCCTTCGCTGTGTAAGTAATGAGTGATGAGCGTAAAGTCAGAATCCGCTCCCGCCAGCACATTTTCTTCTCCTTTATCGGCACAACGCTCCCTGCCAAATGCAGGAGGTGGCTCTAGACGTGCCTGTTTCACTCCCTGCCTCCTGCCAACCAGCACAAATGTTGCAGGATTGGAGCTGTGAAGGCGGCAGACGCAGGAGCCCCAGCCATCAAACACTCACGCAACTGTTTTCCCTGCCTCTCGGCAGGGTTTGGTAACAAAAGTCCCCCTTGCAGGCGCTGGCTCCCTCAGGCTCCTCTTCAATCCCCACGGAGCCCACGTGCCTTTGAAGTGGACGCCAAGATTTGCTGCCCCGGCGGCGCTGCAGCTGCTGCACCTGTTGGGCGCTGCTGCCGTCCCCTCCAGCCGTGCTGGGGATCAGGGCATCCCCTGAGCTTCACTTTCCCTGGTTCCTGGCCAGGGGCAGGGCTGTTTCCAGGTGTCTGGGGCTGTTTCCAGGTGTCTGGGGCTGCAGGGTCTGGGTGGTGTCTCTGTAGCACAAAACTCTCCCGCAGCACCGGCGCTCAGACAAGTTCTGGGGTGCTGAGGGCCAGGGCAGGTGCCATGGGCTGGGATGCCAGCAAGCTTTGGGTTCCTAAAATCAAAGCAGCAGAATTTCCACCCCACTCAGCCCATACCAGTTCTGGTGTCCTCTCCTTTGCTTTTGAAGGATGGAAGAGCAATCCTGAGTGGTGGCAGCACAGTGACAGGTTAGGCCACCCCAAGCCAGGCTGGCTGTCCCACACTGTGGGCAGCACCCCTGCTCCTCGTGGGGTGCACAACTGTCAGGAGTGCTGCAAGGGCACAGGATGCCCCAGGCTGCCCTGCCCTGCCCAGGGTAGGATGTGGGTCTGGAGGGGTGCAAGGGGCTAAGGGGGAATCCGGGAACGGAAAATCCTTTAGTCCCTGTGTGGGATTTCCATTCTGAGAGAGCTGTGGAGAAGGAGGGGCTCCTTCCCTGCCCTCGCTGGCCCTGGGGGCCCTGAGGCTGCTGTTACTCCCTCCCAGTCCAAAGCAGCTCTGCATATTTGGAAGAAAATCAAACTTGGAAGCGGATCAGGCTGTCACCATTCCACGGCGGGCGGTGGTGCCAGCGCGGTTTCCATGAGCGCAGGAAGCACCAGCGGCTGGGAGGGGAATTCTGGAATTCTGCTCTCCCTGACCGGGAGGTGCTGCCCGAGGGCTGGGCTGGGTCCTGCCCTGGCTGCAGGGATGGGATGAGCTTCCCTGGGAGGTTGGCACAGGGCCACAGGCCAGTGCGCTGCTGGCAGCCGGGACAAAGAGGGGGACACTGTCGCTCCTCTCAATCTGCTCGATAAGGGACACCTGGGTCACCCCTGCCAGCCAGCTGTGTGCTGGGGGAGCATCCCCAGGCCAGCAGCTGCCTCTGCTTTCTGCCTGAGCTTGTCCCCTCTGCTCCCACCAAGAGAGGCACAGCGAGGAAGGGTAGCCGGGAGCAGGGAAGGGACAGCACAGGTGACTCAGTGCCCAGCCCTGCTGGGGTCCTGCACCAAAGCTCCATGGCCACCCAGGCCTGGCACAGGGCTCTGGGCACGGCTCTGCCACCACCACCCCCGAACAAGCAGCCCTTAAACATCCCAGGCCAGGCACAGCCTCTGGGGGATGTCACTCTGTGGTCGTGTCAAAAAATCCTGGAGGCACAAAGCATCGTTTTAATGGAGGTGGAGAGGGGTTTTTGTGTCCTGTAAAAAACAAAAATCAGGTCTATGGAGTGGAAAGGCCACAAACCCGGCTTGGGAGCCAAAATGCGTTTCTTACATAAAAATGTACAATTCTCAGTGATGTTTGTATCATGTCTCTACAGAAAGGCTTCGAAAGAACAAAACAAACTGATCTGTGACATTTGTGAGTGTGGCTATTTTAGAATTTTATTTCCATAAGTGATTTTTTTCTTAAAGATGTTTAATAGTAATTCCTATAATAAAGTCCTGTTGTACTCTTCACACTGTATATATTTTTTTAACACTGTGTATTTTTCTACTCTTTACAGGAGGAAGAAGAAACAAAGGGGGCTGGGAAGGGAAGGGGCAGCTCTAGCCCAGCTCCAGGAGATGCAAACACCCAAAATCTGATGGGGCTGAATGTGGGTCCAGTGGTTTCTCAATAACGCAGGAGCCATCCCTGGGGGGCAGTGACAGGGCTAGGGGGCACACGGAGCATCCCCCTGACTTGCAGGGACAGCACAGACCCCCCCTGTCCTGTGCCACCTTTCATTTCCCGGCAGGATCGGAGCTTTCCAGCTCGGGAACCTTCCCTGTGAAAGAAAAGCCTGGAAAAAGTCAGGGCACTCTTGCCTTAAATGTCAAAAGCAGCGAAAGGCTGGAGGCAGCCCGGCTGCCCTGGGGAGCGCAGGGCCTGCCCGGGCAGCTCCCTCTGCAATTGCCGCTCTCCCTGCAGGGACAGGGGCTCTGCTCTCCAGCAGCTCTCTCTGCAATTGCCGCTCTCCTCGGGCTCTGATCCCGGCCGGGGCTGCGGTTCCTGCCGGCCCTCGGTGTGCCGTGGGAGTGTGCTGCCCCCTTCCTTCGGCGGCCTGGGAGCAGGGATGGGATGCGCTTTCCTTCCTTGCCCTCGGTTCCCGAGCTGCACCCAGTGCCCGGGAAGGGCTGCCTGCAGGGAGGCTGGGGCTGCTGGAGCTGCTGGGGCTGTACACCGAGCTGGAACACACCCTGGGATCCTCTGGGGCCGCTCTGCCTGCTGGGGCTGCCCGGGCCGGGGTGCGGCCATGGGGCAGCCCCGGACAGGGCTGGTGCGCATCCCACTGTCCTTCGATGTGGATCCCATGTCCCCTGTCCTGATCCCACTGTCCCCTGTGCAGATCCCATGTCCCCTGTCCAGGACTGCTGGCGCTGCCCGGGCTGGGGCCGAGGCTGTCGGGGCACACCGGGGCCGGTCGCGTCTGTCGCGACAGCGCTAAACGGATGAGGATAACCCGGCTCGGCCATCGGCTGGCGCTGCCTGGGCACCTTCCCCCGCCGCCGCTCGGCACTCGGCCGCGTGCCCTGGCGGCCGCTCCGGTTCCGGTTCAGTTCCCATTCCATTTCCGGTTCCGCTTCCGGGTGCGCGGCAGCACCGGGCCGGGCTCCGGGGCCCGTCCGGCGGGGCCGCCATGGCCGCCACGGCCGGGAGCCGCACGCAGAAGATCGGGAGCGTGTTCAGCCGGTGCGGGGGGGGTTCAGCCGGGCCGGTTCCCGGTTCTCCGTGAGCGCGGCCCGCTGAGCCCCCCCTGAGCCGCCTGTCACCCGCAGGGCGCGGAACCTGGTGCGCATCGGGCTGCTGCGGAAGCCGCTGTGGCTGGACGTGTACGCCGCGTTCCCGCCGCTGCGGGAGCCCGTGTACCGCGTGCCGCGGCCGCGCTACGGGAGCGGGGACCCCATCGGAGCCGTGTTCTACCGGGAGGACACCGTGCGGGCGTGGGTGCAGGGGAACCGGGGACATTGGGGTGAACCGGGGGGGTTTGCGGTAAATCGGGGTTGTTTGTTTTGTTAATAAATCGGGGCCGTTTGGGGATAAATCAGGGTAGGTTTTTTTAATAATAAATCGGGGTGTTTTTAATAATAAATCGGGGTGGTTTTTGGAATTAATTGGGGTGGGGTTTTTTAATAAATCGGGGTGGGTTTTGGGATAAATCAGGGTGGGTTTTTTTTTAATAAATCAGGATGGGTTGGGGGATAAATTGGGTCATTTTTTAATAAATCAGTAT